AATTCTTTCTGTTTTCAGTGTTGGCTGTGTTTAATTGGGAAATAAACAGGGGTTGTTATTTGCTATATCTTCATATAAAACCTAATTTTGTTTTATCATATTAGTTTCATTATGAATATCAAATTGTTATTGCACTTAATTTTATACTAACTTGATGTTTGGTAGAAGCCTTGGTGAAAAAATATTTGTTTTTGCATCATGCTTGCTTGCTGAGGTAACAAAGTGAAGGAGAATTTGAAATATGAATTTTTGGTTTCTTTTCTCTTCAGGAAAGACTTCAAAAAGGACAGGTTTCATCTTTCTAAAGTCTATAAAAATGGAAAAGCATAGGATTGAAGTGTATAATTTTTTTTGTTTTGATCATGTATTTACACTTAATGTGAAACAACTTCTGTAATTCTATTTTTTTAATGTTAAAATGATCTAATGAATGTCACATAAATTTTCAAAACTGTACAGCCAGGCCAAAGGTTTCAAGTTGAAGCAGAAGTTGTTGGCTTTGACGTAGATTCTGGTTGGTTTTACACAGCTTGTAAACAATGCACCAGGAAACTTCCTCCTGCTTACACTGGTCGAGGATGTCGGGTTTGTAATACTCCACAGTCTGAATCAATGATTTGGTATGGAATATTTTGTCATTTAATGGTTAAGATTAGAATATGTTATCAACCTTATTAATTACAAGAATTTGAAAATATTATTAAATTTTTTTACGAAACATGAGAATTACATGTATTATTAATATAGGTATCATTTGAAGACCATAGTGCAAGATGAGACCAGCTCAACTACTTTTATTATCTTTGGTACAAAAGGTGAAAAACTACTTGGAACATCAGTTAATAATTTAATTGCATCAGCAGCAGTGGATCCTGAAGTACTTCATCCAGTGATGGAGAGACTTTGTGAGAAAAGGGTTAAAAAAATTTTTCATGTGACAGTTAAACATAATGAATATAAGGAGGATGCTGTGAGTTTTATTGTTCAAAATTTGTTTGATCTACCCTCTACTCCCTTTCCTTTTGTTGATCCAATTGCAGTTGGAAGACAACCTATTTGTTGAGAAGGGCAAAGCAAGTTAGCTGAACCCCTTAAAAAGGATGAAATTACTCCGCTATTAGAAAAACTGCAATCAGATTATCTTGAGCAATTACCTCTATCTACAGGCCTTTTGTTGACGTAAGAGACTTACATTTACACTGTTATCTTCTGCTTTTCTTTTCTTTTCTTTTCTTTTCTTTTCTTTTTTTTTTTTTTAAATTTAATAGAAGTTTTTGTTTAATGGTGTTTATGGCAGTGATCTTTTTACCCAAATTGGAGCATCTGCAAAACCAGATTAGACAAAACATATACAGTGTGGTATAGGTGGATTCATATTAGTAAACAAATAACAATATTGCAAAGTAATGACTAGGAGGGAGTAGGAAAATGGAGGGGAAGAGAACAAAGGAGAAAGAGAGATTAATATTAAATCAAGTAACATAACTTATCCTTGATAGACTCAAGTGCACAATAAATTCTTTGATAAAACCTAAATTAATTTAGATCAGTTGAGTAAGCTCACTCTATTTTTAAGCCTAATATAACAAGTAGCAGAATTCAATTTTGGTTGCTTTTAGTTTCGTCCAGGAGAAAGAGAGAAGGTTAATAGAGGATGGAAACATTGAACCAGGGAAAATGTTGTCTAACAAGTTTCTTTAGCTCTTTTTTTTTTTTTTTTAATGTTATTTTGTTAGTCATGAGTGTTCAAAAACATAAAGCATATTTATGTTCTAAGCTTATAATAGAGAGTTAATAAACCTATATCAGAAGTTTAGGGTCATTGTTATGTGGAACCAAGGCAAGTTGAAGAATTTTTATGTTTAAGTTTGCCTTTTAAACTGACAAAAAAAAAAAATAGAATTCTATTTATATTTGCGCTTTAATTGCAATTCATATGGTAGAGAATATTTCCAATATACATTTGTACAAAGTGTGGAGCATGGCATTGGATCCAGGAGAAACTAAAAAAAGACAGAAGTAATGGCATTATTCACTTCTCTCTATGTTGTAAAGACGGGAAACTACAATTAGCTCCAAGAAAAGATCCTCCTATGTTGTTAAAATCTCTTCTTGATTATGAAGGTGGACCAAAAGCCAAGAGATTTAGATCTAATCTCTTCTTAAGTTTTCCATTTTTTGTTGAAATTTAAGTCAAAACTATAGTTCCTTACACTGTTATCTTTTGCTTTTCTTTTCTTTTTCTTTTTCTTTTTAATTTAATAAAAATTTTTGTTTAATGGTGTTTATGGTAGTGATCTTTTTACCCAAATTGTAGCATCTGTAAAACCAATTTTAAGTAGTGGCCTAAATCATGAGGAAGCTGGTAGTAGCACTTCTCTTAAGGGGAAAGAAATATTGAGAGAGTCTGAAGAACTAAATGAGAAACACAGGTTTGTTTTGACTTTTTCTTTTCATTGTTTTTAAGATATTTGAATTGATAATAAGTATTTAACTGATAATTAAAAATTTGTATATACATTTTAGTGTGCCTCCTATCGTTTTAGGAGTTAATCAAGTTAAATCTGTTGTTTCAGAAATGATTATGCAGATAAGGTATGGTGCTGCACTAAGTATAAATTTATTTACTATTTATAAAACAAGTGTTCTAATTCAAAGTTCAATTCTAAAAGCAGAAAGGGGTTGCAACTAGATGATTTGCATGAAAATAATAACAAGGAGTTTAGCAATCAATCATCTGAGCTTTATAATGCATCTATTGCTAATGACTATCAGGAAAAGATAAAAAGGTATTTATTATGTTGTGTTTATATGTACTTATTATAATGTTTATGATATATTTGTTTTTTAATATGAGCACTATAAATTTAGTCTTCAAGTGTATTATAAGGAAAATGAGAAGCAAGAATCAAGTGTTGACCTGTTCGGCAGCATCAATGAAGATAATTTGACATCAACAAAGGAACTGGTAACGTTGACCGGTAGCAATTGGTATGTTTAACAGTTACATGATATTAAAAAGCACATTTCCTACTATGCTTTAAAGAATTCAAATTGACAGTTTCTATTTATGAATTTAACAATGAAAAACAAACAGGAATTGAAGAAGAAAGAATTAAAAAAAATGATGCAAAAAATGTACAAAGAGATGATATCAACCAATACTCGAAAAAAAGTAAGAAACTTTATTTATTTAAATTTATTTTGATAGCCTGAATAAAAAAATATATTCCTCTTATATTCTAAAACTTTAATTATTGTGCTTTGCAGAAAAACTGAAGACTTCAAAGGAATAAGAAGTAGAGAAAATTAGAAGATAATCCAGTTGTTATCTATTTCTTTTAGGATAATATTATTATATTAAAATTTTTAATTCCAACTTATTTTCTATTTCAGTCAGTGAAAACATATTGGAACTTTTATTTATAAATTTCTATTAATATTATACGTCTATGTTTTAGTTTGTGATAATTATGATTATTTATAATTTTTTTCCTTCTAATATTATTTGGATAATATGAAATAAAATGGTATTAGTGTTGTATCTAATACATTTACATAATATTTAAAAAGTCTATAAAATAATCTAAAAAATAAAATTTTAAAAAATAAAATGGATGGAACATTTAAACTGATGCAACATTTAAACTGATGCATTTCCTTTTGTAAAAAAAAAAAAAAATTTCCTTTCTAGAAAAAAATAAGTAGTTTAGTTCTACACATTTATCTCTCTTTTTTTAAAATAGATAAAGATGAGGGAAACATATATAATAAAAATAAAAAAATTGATTTAAGTTAAAACACATTACTCACAGTTAAACCATGACAGTTAAAACTATTTAGTAAATTGAAACACTTAATGAATGGGAAAAAATAAAAAGATACTCCTACAAAATGTTTATGAGCACGAAATTTTGATCATATAATAACTAAAATCATAAACCAGAATATGGAGTTTAAGTAAGTTAATAAACCAGAATATAGAGTTTAAGAAACAATTTTTTTTAACTGTCATCATTCCAAGGAACTCTGCTACACGAACGACAGCACCCAAGCAAGCAATTGATGGAAGACAAAAACTGCAGTAAGGTTACTCCATTTAAAATAATATGAAGTTCAAGAAATAATTTTCTTTTACCTGTCATTATCTCAAGAAACTTTGATGCAAGAACGGCGGCAACACAAGCAAGTAATTAATGGAGCAGAAAAATTATACAAAGATTACAACAGGATCAGATTTACTTGCAGAATTTGAAGAGTATTTACAACAGACTTCTTTTCAACAAAGTAGTCAAAATTTTCTTCAATCAAATTCTCAATTATTAGGAGTTGAAGTTGTTGCATCAACAATAGATAAACAAGCAGAATGCACGACAGACCAAGCACTTGCAACTAATATTGGAGAGCAACCCATAGATACAATCAGCTACATTAGAGTTGAAGAGCATGAAAATGAAATGAGAGGTACAATCTAACTGTTTTTTGTGTAATGCTTAATCTAACTATTTTCCTTTTTTTTTTTTATTCATGAAGGTGATGTATTTATTTTTTATGATGCATATAGAGACTCCCTTATAGAAAGGAATTTAGAATTAGGTTTATGACTATTTGGGAATATGGTTTTAAATATGAAGTGTAAACAATGATAATTACATGTATTAAGGCATTTCTGGAGATAGAGAGACATGTAGAAAAGTGCCATAGCTACAAAACTGATAGAGAGACATGAAGGAGAGAGAGAGATTATTATTAAATCAAGTTACATAACTTATCCTTGATAGACTCAAGTGCACAATAAATTTTTTGATAAAACCTAAATTAATTTAGGTCTGTTGAGTAAGCGCACTCTATTTTTAAGCCTAATATAACTAGCAGAATTCAATTTTGGTTGCTATTAGTTT